CCTGCATCTGTGCAATCGGGTGGCGGGCCTGGGTTTTCGTCCAGCACTTTCAAGGCCACTGATGCAAGGGCCCGTCTAACCAGACCCCATTGGTTCCTTGGGATCCTACCGCCTTCAACGCTCTGGTCGATGACACCAATGATCTTCCGATCCTTTACCACTTCCGCAAAGGATCTCGACCATGTGCCGCGGTTGGTTACCTTAGCCTTCTTGCTCGCTGGTTGAGCTGACTCCATCGACCTCTCTCGCTTGTTGCTGTTGTTGCGATGTCGAAGTCTGGGATAATTGCCTTTGCCCAGGCTATGTCCTCTTGGATTTTCAGGTAATGCAATTTTGATGTCTGATCCTCCCGTATCGGATTGGTGGCCAGCCGTTTAAGGATCCTAGAAGCCTTCCTTCTTTCAAGAGGTCCTGCCTGGTTAGGTGGTACCCTCTTAAACTCCTTTGCCCTGGTACTCACCACGAGACCGGCCTTAGCGCTACCCTCAGGTTGGAGTGGCTGGTTAGCCACACCTACGCTGGTGGGAGGCTTGGGCTTGTCGCTATGGCGAGTTGGGCTTAGCCGGCTGCGTTGTTCGCTGGAATTGGCAGGGGTAGATGTCACGTGGACTGGGGTAGTCAGAGCCGTGATCTTGCTCTTTCTTTCGTCGTTGGTTACGACTTCCGACTTTATAAGAGTGTCGGGCTCTTGTCTTGTGCAGTCTTTTAGTTTTGTATTTGTTAAATTCTCCATGTTAATTCCCACGAGCTGCGGAGAAAGGACAGGTCCACCCGGGCAGAGATCCGCCGTACCCGGGTAAGGCTGAATTAGAACAGGCGGTCGCCACTTGCCTGAGCTCACCGTTTGAGACTGAGTTATTTGATGACTCGGGCTCCCAGCCAGATTGACTCTCGGCACGGTACGAGTGACACCTTAGTCCAGCCCGGGGTGAGATGAGTTGTGTGGGTAGGGAAGAGGTAGGTACAGAGCGTGTGGGTAGGGGTGTGTGTGAGCTATTTGTCGGAGGCGGCAGCACAAGCTCGACGTCGGTACTGCTACGGCGCAGATACCCGCTGACTGTCCGGGGCTACTTATTTGCGCTTCGTGTTGGGGGCTTGGTGGTAGCCGGGCCGTGTCCAACTTCCACGCTTATTCGTAGCTATCCGCAACCTGCGACCCGTTCGGTAGCCTTCAGCTCGGCGCCCTCAGAGCCATCCCACTAGCTCTTTGGCCGAAAATCCTGATATTAAGTCAAGGCATGAAAAATATTTTGATCGTCCCAGTTGATCCAAAACATCATCAATTCGTGTGAGTGGAAATGTATCCGACAGTAATTTTTTATTAATTTGACGATTGTCAATAACTAATCACCTTTTCTTTTGTTCTGAACCTGGAGATGGTTTTTTAGGAACAAGTAATAATGGGCTATTATATTCAGCTACAGATGGTTCAACAATCCCGTCGGTGATCAATTTTCCGACTTGTTTCTGTATTTCGTTCACCTGACTGTGTGGGATTCTTTAATTTTTTTTTAATCTGAATTTTTGTCTATAAAAATTTGTGCTTATTGGTTCGGTTTCCAATCCGAATATATCAATATATTGGGTGCATAGACTTGAAAGCTGTGGTTTGAATTGTGGAGGAAAGTTTTTTGAAAATTGAAATAATACAGATTTTTCTAAAGCTAAATTTTTTTACTGAATACTTGATCTTTATTCGTGGTATTGAGTAGTCTTATGAAAGCGTTTTTAGATGTTGCTATGGTACTTGCTATATAAATACCATTCTTAATTTCTTGCTTTGGAATCGATACACTGTCTTCTTTTGAACTTAGTTGAAGTATTGAGTTGTTGCCAGAACTGTATGTTATTGGAAAATAAAATCGAAATTCTAAGTTATTAGGTCTAATTATAAGCCAATCTTCAGATGGCTTGAAGTCTAATTGACAGTTGTATTTTTTAATAAAATCGATTCCTAATATGCCATCACAAGGAATAGCGAATTGTAAATCCACGATATGAAAACCGTGTTGGATTATGTACTTAGTTGTCTGTATCTCAATAGAAGTTAACCATTTGGATTTGGTTACCTCTTGACTTATTCCTCTTATGTCTATAATATAATTATCTTGCATGTCATGAAAGACATCACAATTTTCTTTAACTATTGAAATGTCTGCACCTGTGACTACTAAAAAGACAAGTTCTTTTCCTGTAGCCACATGGTTGAATGATAAAAATATGTTCTGACTGAGATTAACGGTATTCTATTTTCTACTGTTAAGTATCTAAAGGGTTTTTTGAGTTTCCCGATGTATTATTGGTTACTTGAACATTACTTGGGTTATTGTTGTTGTGGCCTCGACTCGAGTTGCCACGGTCTCTATAGTTACCTCTACATTGACCATTATTGTATTGGGTATCATTGTTAATGTAATTATTATTACGACTACGAAAGTTACCTCTATAATTTCCACGTCCGCGGTTTCCGCCGCGCTGTGTATAATTTTTGAGATATATGGCAGTGTTTGGCTGTCCGGTTACTTCTGTGCAACTATTTACAAATTTTGATACGACATCATTTATAGTAGTGCATGACAAGTTTTACCTTACCGATTGTGCAATTTTTAGTCATTGCTTTGACTGCATGGAATAACTTATGGCTAACTCTAGGGGTAAGCCGTCTCTTATATATGCACCTTCTAAAGTTTTTGTCATCTGCTCAACCTCTTGCGTGTACCGGTTAGCAGTTTTATTGCGTTGCTGTAGGTTCATCAGTTTTGCTGACAATACTTCTACAGTTTCGCCTTTGACGTTGCTTTTTAATCTGGAAATGACTTCAGTTATTGTTGTTTCATTTCCGATTCGATTTCTGGCGACACCTTTTAGCATTGTTATACCCGTTACTCGTAGAGTAAAAGGGTATACTAGATTCGTCGGAAAGTATGTAACAGGCAGAAGGAAGCGTTTTCGACCCCATAAAGTATATATATTCATGATCAGGATCACCAGCCGAGTCGATCTAGCCATGTCCGTCTGTCCGTCTGTCCGGATGAACGCTGAGATCTCGGAAACTATGAGAGCTAGGCTATTGAGATTTGGCGTGCAGATTCCTGAGCTTCTTACGCAGCGCAAGTTTGTTTCAGTAGACTGCCACGCCCACTCTAACGCCCACAAACCGCCCAAAACTGTGGCTCCTACAGTTTTGATGCTAGATAGAAAATTTTAACTGAAATGTAATGTTCTCATCAGTACCTATCGATTGACCCAAAAAAAATTTGCCACGCCCACTTTAACGCCCACAAACCGCAAAAACCTGTGACGCCCACAATTTTCATGCAAGATAAAAAAATTTTCACTGAAATGTATTGGTGTTGTCAATACCTATCGATTGATCCAAAAATTTGCCACGCCCACTCTAACGCCCATAACGCTTAAATCTGTATACCGCCAGTAGGTGGCGCATTTTAACCTCGCTTTGCTGCTTGCATATCTCCATTTAGCTGAGTAACGGGTATCTGATAGTCGAGGTGCTCGACTATAGCGTTCTCCCTTGTTTTTATGGAAACTGCTAATTTTTCGTGCTCGCCTTCTTTTGATTCTATTATTTGTAATGCATCAATAAAACTTGTTAAGTTTTCAGCTTTTCCATCCAAAACTGGTATAAGCTTGGATGCTGTGTTAATAAAATCAATATTAGATTGTTCCATTGTGATATTGTTGCTTATTTTATTCTCTATAATGCTTGAACTATCATCGGAATCTGTAGAAGTATACAGATTTGACATTAAAACAGCTGGAATAACATGATTAGTTTTATTTTTTATTTTATTATTATTATTATTTTAATCTTGCTCTTCTATTTTAGGGCTTCTCTCTGTAAGCTCATCTGATTCTATTTGATCAATGTCAGTTTGTTCTGTTGATTCCGATTCATCACCAGATTCAACTGTTAGAGAAGTGTTAAGTATAGTCGCTACTGACATATCTAAATTGAACTTTTGTTTAATTGATATTAAATTAGATCGTAGTCTGATCAAAAATTTTGATACTTGGGACCAATGATCTTGATTTAATTTTTCCCTCTGGCCATGTAAAAGTATTCGTGCTTCATTAAGCATTTTACTAGTATTTCTACATGTTTTTTAATAGTATTTTTTTGAGTTGGCCTGTTTTGAGTAAGTGACTTGTATGATTTTTCAAAATCCACTTTTATGTTATTTAGTTGCCTATATAATTCATTCCATTCCATTATATAATGGATATGAATTATCTCTTAAAGACCATCATCACTATTGTTCTACCTAGTATTGGGTCATCGTCTCTTACTGATCTAACTTGTACACCTGGAATGGTGGATATACAATTCCCTTTTGGGTGCTTGTGCAATGTATTAATGGGGTGCAGAATCCTGAGCCTCTTACGCAGCGCAAGTTTGTTTCAGTAGAGTGCCACGCCCACCCTAACGCCCATAAACCGCCCACAAACTTCAAAAAATCGTAAGTATGACCGTGGATATCTCGGAAACTATCAAAGATAGAGAATTTGGATTTCAGATTTAGATTCCGTAGCCTTATACGCAGCGCAAGTTTGTTACGCGAATATGCCACGACCACTCTAACGCCCACAAACCGCGAAAACCTGTGACGTCACAATTTTTATGCTAGATAAAGAATTTTAACTGAAATGTATTGGTCTCGTCAATACCTATCGATTGGTCGAAAAAAAAATTTGCCACGCCCACTCTAACGCCCATAACGCTTAAATCTGTAAACCGCCGGTAGGTGGCGCATTTAATCTCGCTTTGCTACTTGCATATCTCTATTTAGCTGAGTAACGGGTATCTGATAGTCGAGGTACTCGACTATAGCGTTCTTCCTTGTTTTTTACTAAATTTTGTCCAGACCATTTGCCTGGCTCATAAATTTATTTTTTAACTTGTACAGTTTATAAAAACAATTTGCCCACATTATAACAACAATTATTATTAACAGTGTTTGTATCAATTCTAAATTATTATTGTTTGATTCTACTTTATTAATAACATTAGCAGTGGAGTCTACTGACTTAACGTCTACTATTGCCATTTTTGGCGTATATATATTTGAATTATAAATATAACTATCTGTTTCTTCAGAAAACTTACTTATTGCATTACTTTGCATCCACTTTTACAGGTTTTCTTTCTGTTGTTTTGTATAGCTTTACGGTCTACACTTTTAATCGGGCAGAAAAGATTCTGCCCAATTTTACAATTCTTATCCAATATATGGATATTGGAATTATTTTAATTGCTGCATCGGATGTGTTACGAACTGCTTTTTTCGGTGGCAGTGCCGCTAGCTCAGTCGTCTTCAGGGCAGAGTACCCCTAATGCCACAGCTCGCAACAAAAGTATCGATAACTTCGCGGTCTCACCTTACTAATCTATCGCTCATCACTAAGGGCAAAAACGTAAACAAAGCAAAAAATCTACAATTGTTGTCGGGAAAATGGATTACATTTGGTGGCTATCGATGTCCTAGCCAAGCGCTCCCACCCAACCATGGATGCCCTCAAGATGCTGCAGGGCACCACCCATTCTCTGTCGGCAGGAGCCCCCTCCTCGCGACTACGGCGGTTCCATCTCCCCCACTGGGAAAGATTACTCACACATCGTGTGTATTACAAAGGTTTTAATAAATATCGTAAGTACAATCGTTTATGTACATGCTCCTCTTAACAGATCTATCCTTCCTCAGCCTTTAAGACCGAAACCTGGCCGCCGTCTCGGATATTTACGCGGTCAAAGCAGAGGATTTTGTTTGGCTGGAAAAGGGTACAGGCGCCGCGGAAACTATGCTCCACCAGTCATGTATTAGTAGAGCTCGCATGGAAACGCGGCCCTCAAAGTAACATACGCGATGCGCGTGTGTGTGGTCGGGTCTGGAGGCAATGATAGCCCGGGCGGAAGGCTTCTCGCCGGAGGCCAGCAGTGATCCGGATCTCCACACAGGAAAAAGGCGCTCTCCGGTGAGTTATGCAATGACAGTCCGAGATTCGGCTGCCAGACAAATGGCGATTCTTCTCAGCGCCGCAATGCGACCGCTGGAAGTTCCCGAGAGGAGGATGACGCGGTACTCCGAAACGGACTCACCGGGAAATGTGGACGTCGTCGTCGACTGGGAAAGGCCCTTCTTGCTGGTCGCTGATACGGGTCGAACGGACACCGTTTGCTGGGCCGCCAAGTCGGGCTGGCAGGTATGTCGAAGTCGCGCAGATGTCAGCAGATCTCCAATAAATCTTCCGGGGCCCTTTGTATTGGGACCCTGGCTGCCTTTATAAATTATAATTATTAAACACTGAACTACTATCTAACATTAACCTCACTCACTATTTGATTTTTAAGCACAAAGACAAATTTGTAGTTTCCCGTCTACCTGTCTGCATCTGCCTTGATTGTTGGACAGTATGGCCGCGACTATCACGATATCTGCTGATCATCGCCCCCCGCCATATTACATGGCCTCTCTCAGCATTGGGTCATTGGATACATGGGCCATTAGAAGTAATCCCAGAGCGAACCGGGATTAATCTTTAAATGGCCAGATCGCCCGCCAGACTCATCCCGCTGCTGCAGCTATCGCCCTATCGACCTAACCTATCGATAACGTCGCTCCCACTCGACTCCAATTGCAACAGATGTCTTCCGCGTCAGCTGGTCGTCGCCGGTTTGGCTACGCTAACGCTCCTTCGAAGGCGAAAGGGAGTCCCTCGCGCTGTTGGCTTCACTGCTACTGATGTCCGTGCCCTATTGGTTCAGGCGGGGCCGATGCCGGTCTTCGCACTGGTCTTTTTCATGCCTGTGTATTTGCATGCTGCAGCTTCTAGTGGTCCAGGGCAGTCGTTTGAGCAGACGTCAGGTTTCTTCGGCAAAGGCTTTGGAGATGGTGGTTTATTAGTTACTGTTTCATTTATAACTTTAATATTAGCTGAGTGAGTTGCGGTACTTGGCTTTCGTAGCTGGAGGCATTCTTTTAGAAAATCAAGTTCAGCAGTTAATTTTTCTGCTGTTGCCCATGTGGGCGGCGTATTTGTATATAATAGCCACTTAATGTGATCTCTTTTAGCGAACTTGTTTTTCTGGCCTCCGCGTTTCCCATTAATCGCTCTCTACTCACTTAGACGTTTTATTTTTCCGACTTTATAAGAGTGTCGGGCTCTTGTCTTGTGCACTCTTTTAGTTTTGTATTTGTTAAATTCTCCATGTTAATTCCCACGAGCTGCGGAGAAAGGACAGGTCCACCCGGGCAGAGATCGCCCGTACCCGGGTAAGGCTGAATTAGAACAGGCGGTCGCCACTTGCCTGAGCTCACCGTTTGAGACTGAGTTATTTGATGACTCGGGCTCCCAGCCAGATTGACTCTCGGCACGGTACGAGTGACACCTTAGTCCAGCCCGGGGTGAGATGAGTTGTGTGGGTAGGGAAGAGGTAGGTACAGAGCGTGTGGGTAGGGGTGTGTGTGAGCTATTTGTCGGAGGCGGCAGCACAAGCTCGACGTCGGTACTGCTACGGCGCAGATACCCGCTGACTGTCCGGGGCTACTTATTTGCGCTTCGTGTTGGGGGCTTGGTGGTAGCCGGGCCGTGTCCATCTTCCACGCTTATTCGTAGCTACCCTGGAGAACCAGGGCGCTCGCTATCCGCAACCTGCGACCCGTTCGGTAGCCTTCAGCTCGGCGCCCTCAGAGCCATCCCACTAGCTCTTTGGCCGAAAATCCTGATATTAAGTCAAGGCATGAAAAATATTTTGATCGTCCCAGTTGATCCAAAACATCATCAATTCGTGTGAGTGGAAATGTATCCGACAGTAATTATACCCGGTACTCGTAGAGTAAAAGGGTATACTATATTCGTCGGAAAGTATGTAACAGGCAGAAGGAAGCGTTTCCGACCCCATAAAGTATATATATTCTTGATCAGGATCACTAGCCGAGTCGATCTAGCCATGTCCGTCTGTCCGGATGAACGCTGAGATCTCGGAAACTATGGGAGCTAGGCTATTGAGATTTGGCGTGCAGATTCCTGAGCTTCCTACGCAGCGCAAGTTTGTTTCAGTAGACTGCCACGCCCACTCTAACGCCCACAAACAGCCCAAAACTGTGGCTCCTACAGTTTTGATGCTAGATAGAAAATATTAACTGAAATGTAATGTTCTCATCAATACCTATCGATTGACCCAAAAAAAAGTTTGCCACGCCCACTTTAACGCCCACAAACCGCAAAACCCTGTGACGCCCACAATTTTCATGCTAGATAAAAAATTAATTAATTAAATTAACTGAAATGTATTGGTCTCGTCAATACCTATCGATTGATCCAAAAAAAATTTGCCACGCCCACTCTAACGCCCATAACGCTTAAATCTGTATACCGCCGGTAGGTGGCGCATTTTAATCTCGCTTTGCTGCTTGTATATCTCCATTTAGCTGAGTAACGGGTATCTGATAGTCGAGGTACTCGACTATAGCGTTCTCCCTTGTTTTTTATTAATTTGACGATTGTCAATAACTAATCACCATTTCTTTTGTTCTGAACCTGGAGATGGTATTTTAGGAACAAGTAATAATGGGCTATTATATTCAGCTACAGATGGTTCAACAATCCCGTCGGTGATCAATTTTCCGACTTGTTTCTGTATTTCGTTCACCTGACTGTGTGGGATTCTTTAATTTTTTTTTAATCTCAGTTTTTGTTTATAAAAATTTGTGCTTATTGGTTCGGTTTCCAATCCGAATATATCAATATATTGGGTGCATAGACTTGAAAGCTGTGGTTTGAATTGTGGAGGAAAGTTTTTTGAAAATTGAAATAATACAGATTTTTCTAAAGCTAAATTTTTTTACTGAATACTTGATCTTTATTCGTGGTATTGAGTAGTCTTATGAAAGCGTTTTTAGATGTTGCTATGGTACTTGCTATATAAATACCATTCTTAATTTCTTGATTTGGAATCGATACACTGTCTTCTTTTGAACTTAGTTGAAGTATTGAGTTGTTGCCAGAACTGTATGTTATTGGAAAATAAAATCGAAATTCTAAGTTATTAGGTCTAATTATAAGCCAATCTTCAGATGGCTTGAAGTCTAATTGACAGTTGTATTTTTTAATAATATCGATTCCTAATATGCCATCACAAGGAATAGCGAATTGTAAATCCACGATATGAAAACCGTGTTGGATTATGTACTTAGTGGTCTGTATCTCAATAGAAGTTAACCCTTTGGATTTGGTTACCTCTTGACTTATTCCTCTTATGTCTATAATATAATTATCTTGCATGTCATGAAAGACATCACAATTTTCTTTAACTATTGAAATGTCTGCACCTGTGACTACTAAAAAGACAAGTTCTTTTCCTGTAGCCACATGGTTGAATGATAAAAATATGTTCTGACTGAGATTAACGGTATTCTATTTTCTACTGTTAAGTATCTAAAGGGTTTTTTGAGTTTCCCGATGTATTATTGGTTACTTGAACATTACTTGGGTTATTGTTGTTGTGGCCTCGACTCGAGTTGCCACGGTCTCTATAGTTACCTCTACATTGGCCTCGTCCATTTTTGTATTGGGTATCATTGTTAATGTAATTATTATTACGACTACGAAAGTTACCTCTATAATTTCCACGTCCGCGGTTTCCGCCGCGCTGTGTATAATTTTTGTAATATATGGCAGTGTTTGGCTGTCCGGTTACTTGTGTGCAACTATTTACAAATTTTGATACGACATCATTTATAGTAGTGCATGACAAGTTTTACCTTACCGATATTGCAATTTTTAGTCATTGCTTTGACTGCATGGAATAACTTATGGCTAACTCTAGGGGTAAGCCGTCTCTTATATATGCACCTTCTAAAGTTTTTGTCATCTGCTCAACCTCTTGCGTGTACCGGTTAGCAGTTTTATTGCGTTGCTGTAGGTTCATCAGTTTTGCTGACAATACTTCTACAGTTTCGCCTTTGACGTTGCTTTTTAATCTGGAAATGACTTCAGTTATTGTTGTTTCATTTCCGATTCGATTTCTGGCGACACCTTTTAGCATTGTTTTTATTATGGAAACTGCTAATTTTTCGTGCTCGCCTTCTTTTGATTCTATTATTTGTAATGCATCAATAAAACTTGTTAAGTTTTCAGCTTTTCCATCCAAAACTGGTATAAGCTTGGATGCTGTGTTAATAAAATCAATATTAGATTGTTCCATTGTGATATTGTTGCTTATTTTATTCTCTATTATGCTTGAACTATCATCGGAATCTGTAGAAGTATACAGAATTGAACTTAAAAACAGCTGGAATAACGTGATTATTTTTATTTTTTATTTTATTATTATTATTGTTTTAATCCTGCTCTTCTATTTTAGGGTTTCTCTCTGTAAGCTCATCTGATTCTATTTGATCAATGTCAGTTTGTTCTGTTGATTCCGATTCATCACCAGATTCAACTGTTAGAGAAGTCTTAAGTATAGTCGCTACTGACATATCTAAATTGAACTTTTGTTTAATTGATATTAAATTAGATCGTAGTCTGATCAAAAATTTTGATACTTGGGACCAATGATCTTGATTTAATTTTTCCCTCTGGCCATGTAAAAGTATTCGTGCTTCATTAAGCATTTTACTAGTATTTCTACATGTTTTTTAATAGTATTTTTTTGAATTGGCCTGTTTTGAGTAAGTGACTTGTATGATTTATCAAAATCCACTTTTATGTTATTTAGTTGCCTATATAATTCATTCCATTCCATTATATAATGGATATGAATTATTTCTTAAAGACCATCATCACTATTGTTCTACCTAGTATTGGGTCATCGTCTCTTACTGATCTAACTTGTACACCTGAAATGGTGGATATACAATTCCCTTTTGGGTGCTTGTGCAATGTATTAATGGGGAAGCATCTAAATTAAAGGTTTCAATATATACATTTTCTAAATCATAAATGCTTACTGAAATCACTGAGACTAATTGTAGAACTCTTTCTTTAAAATAAGGGACCCTATCATATGTTTCTCTAATTGCCTTTAGTGTAGCCATATTATAGTTAATATATTTTTATTTGTGTTTGGTCATCTCACTGTTTGTTTTGTTTTCTATGGTCGTTGCGATGCCGACTATCGAAAGCTGCGAGCAGGGGCGTAGCACAGCTGATAATCGCTAATAAATTACCCCCTACAAGTCGGCAAGCAACGATCATACAACAAAATACTAGATTAAAAAACTACTATATTACCATAAAATACTAACTCTAGATACCAATGTAATAGGGAAGATCTGAAACGAGCGAGTTGGTAACATTGTTGAATAGAAAAAGCTCTTGAAATAAACGCACAATTTACATAGATGACGGCTAAGCAATGTTTTAAATAAAACCAGTGGATTCGCGAAGTTGCATATTTACTCCTACTTCCTGAGCAAACAATTTGTATTTATTTATTTTTATTTTATTCCATTTTCTTAAATTTTAAAAGTTGATTACAGATATATTTTTTCTATTAATATTGTTTGTGCTGTATATTTATACCCGTTACTCGTAGAGTATAAGGGTATACTAGATTCG